ACGGCGGGAGAAACCCGACCTATGCAAGCAATTAGAACATGTGGCTAACCTATAGCTGCCTTGGTGAACATAGGCCTACATTTAGTCATCATTTTGTTTTGTTTTTGTCATTTCCTTCCCCAAATTTCCGCCCCTTCCCAAGTTAAGTTGACAATATGGATGTTCTCTTGTGCGCAAATTGACATTGCTATAATTGATTTTGTTGATATTCAAATGGTGCTATTATCCACTTGTTATTCATTCCACGCAAAGACAGGCTGCAGCTGATGAGCAGTCACGAAATTTGTTTGCTCGAATAAATTCTGCCGTATATGCTTGTAACAAACTTCTTCCTGGGAAAAAAATGTTTCAAATTTAAATCGAAAATGTCAAGCTGGCGCCTTTAACTCTGTGGCGGACGGCCATAATGCCTGTCCTTCCTCATCGTTCTTCAATGTCCGCGGCCCCCGACGTCATCCGTCTTTACAGGCGACTGTTTCCGACTCACTGACCTTAAAACAATTAATTGAAGTCATTCGAATACACATGTGTACTCACACGCACGCACGCACACGCGGGTGCCCAACTAGTCACAGTTTCTCAGGGGTCACTTCAACACGCCCCATCAACCGACGCAGTATAGGCCTCAAAACTCGAAACCCACCTCGGGCAAATGCAACAACAATTACACTCCACTTTACCTCGCTTCACCAGTGGCCACTGCTGCCTGAGAAAGCCACATACGGTTCCGTGCGCAATAAAGCCCTCATCCTGGTGACTTCTGGCTTTTACAAAATAGCCTGGGATTCGACCTGATGATTGTAGTGATCCGAGTACAACCACAACTTAGAACAATACAACTCTTCTGATCTTGTGCGCGCAGAAGAACCTCCTGCAAGCCCCAAGCTTGGCTTGGCCAACGGTTACGTAACTACCTGCATCTTTTCGCGCTTTTTACCGCTTCAACCCTCCCCCCCTTCCCTCCATCCCCTGTCCGGACTCAACAAACCCGCAGCACCTTGCAACCAGCTGATTACTATCAA